GGGCTGGCAGTTTCTATCCCATCCCTGTCCTAAAAGTTTCCAAACTTTATTTTCCTTTTTGTTAATTATAAGCAGTTCTTTTAAGGATACTGATGAATGAGGAGAGAGAAAGGAAGAAGGGTTGGATTGGACCACATTTTGGGGTGGGTTGTTTTTTTTTTTTGAAGGGGCAGTAAATCCTTGATCCATAAAACCACAAAGGTGTTTGCTATTCTATATTTCATTTATTAAATTTACTGTTCTTTATTGCATATTTCGTTTGCATTAATAATAATAATAATAATAGTAATAATAGTAATAATAGTAGTAATAATAATAGTAATAGTAATAGTAATTTTTTATTATTTATACCCCACCCATCTAGCTGGGTTTCCCCAGCCACTCTGCATGGCTTACTGCACATATAAAAACACAGTAAAACCTCAAACATTAAAAACATCAAGAAGCACTTTTATTTGTTAATGTATTGTTATTATTGTGAGTTGCTTTCAGCTCAGTGTGGTTGTTGGAAAAGCAGAATTCAAGTATAAAATTGGCTCTTCCTGTTGTTGTGCCTTGAAGTGTTGGCCTGAAGTTCAGCAGTAAAAAGTTTTGTAGTTCTACTCATTTTCAATTAAAAGTGCATACAACACACCAAAACAAAAAAAAAATCCCAGCAACCCCGGTACATTTATGCCCAGTGTGATGCCTCTTGTATTTCTTTCACATTCAGAATGTAAAATTATCACTTATCAGAAAATTTGATTTCCTTGCTTCACTCTACCCTTCAATTCCTTTCACTGAAGTGGTCAGCCATTTTTAAATTTTGTTTCATAAGGACATAAAAATAGCCCGCTGGCTCAAGCCAGTGTTCCATCTGGTACATTTAATAAATGTACATTATTTATTTAAATATAGAGATCACATCTGACATTCTTGGGTGCTGCAAGGACCTGAATGCCCCAAGAAAGCTCATCTCTGAAGCTTGTTTTGGAACATTCATTCTTTTCTTCTTGGTTGCCTGACAATCTCAGCTGGGTCACAATGCCCTATTAATTTCCCGCAATACCCCTGAAATGAGTCATTCCGAAGGATTGTGGGAAATTAAAATGTGGATAGACTCAGCTAGCCATTGTTGCTTGAAGTGCTCTTAGCACTTGTGCCACCTGCTCCAACCAAGGATGCCCCAAAACAGAAGAGGGGCCCCCTCAAACCAGGGATGAAAAACATTCATTTAAACTCATGCACGCACAAACCTTTTAAAAAACTTGGCAAAAGTTCTGAGGAGGGGGAGATGGCTTCGCAATGTCTCCAGTTTACAGCTAACCAATTTGTGCACAACAGGCTTCTGCTTTAAACCGCTTTTACCCAAACTTGATCAAGAAAGAGGCAAACCTTACTAAGTCCACTTGCAAAACACAGTGTGTTCACAAATCAAACTATGGATCTCTGTAAACCCTCATGGTAGATGGCCAAGCTCACATTTACAAACTGTGTGGACATTTTTATGGCACAAAGCCATACTACACCTTGAAGAGAAGACCAATAAAAAATAAATCGACCTATCTCCCCCTAAATAGGTTCATCATGCCTTCTGTTTCTAAGGTTCAGGAGTGGGTGTCTATTTTTATGTTGGCACCACCCAAAGGAATGTAGGAAGCTGCCTTATGCTGAAGCAGACCATTGGTCCATCTAGCTCAGGGTTGTGTATACTGACTAGCTGCAGCTCTCCAAGGTTTTAGAGAGGTAGTCTCTCCCAGCTCTACTTGGAGAAACTGGGGATTGAACCCGAGCCTTTCTTTTCTTTCTTTCTTTTTTATAAAATTTTATTGATTTTAACATACACATTATAAAACATACCACACAATTTATCACTTATACAGTCTTATTGGACTTCCATCAGCACCCCTGATGATCCTCCGTCTTAACCACTTCTTATGCATTTCTTAACTTTATATTGCCTTTACATCTCTTAACTTATCATCCCCCCTTCTCCATTTTTGCAATACTTCCAATAATACTCCTCACAAAACTTCTTGCAAACCTACAAACGTTGTCTGGTCTTCACACATACTTTTCAGATAGTCCGTAAATTTACTCTAGTCTTCGGTAAACTTCTGGTCCCGCCAGTTTCGAATCCTTCCTGTTAGTTTATCTAGTTCTGCACAGTCCATTAACTTCATCCTCCATTCTTCAATCGTCGGCAATTCTTCTTGCTTCCATTTCTGAGCCAATAATATTCTTGCTGCTGTTATCGCATATAAAAAAAGCTTACATTCCTTTTGATTTATATAACTTCCAACAATGCCCAATAGAAATGCTTCTGGTTCCTTTATAAATGTATATTTCAACATTTTTTCCAACTCATTATAAATCATCTCCCAGAAGCATTTCACCTTTTTACATTCCCACCACATGTGATAAAATGTTCCCTCTTTTTCTTTACATTTCCAACATTTATTACTAACTTTATATATTTTCGCTAACTTAACTGGTGTAATATATCATCTATACATCATTTTCATCACATTTTATTTTAGGGCATTGCATGCAGTACATTTTAAGCCTTCTTTCCATAGTTTTACCCATTCACTCAACTGTATATTATACCCAAAGTCTTTGGCCCAGTGAATCATAACCGACTTAACCTCCTCATGAACCCAAGCCTTTCTACATGCAAACTAGATGCTGTACCACTGAGCTACAGCTCTTACTTGTATACATAGACTGGTGAGAGTCCTATGTTTTTCAAAAGCGCATTTTTGGGGGGTTAAAATCCCAAAGTGGGACACATCCCCACCTCCACACAGCTCAATGAAGACTGAGCATGCTCTGTGACCCAAGGAAGCTGACTACAGTGATACCTCGGGTTAAGAACTTAATTCATTCTGGAGGTCCGTTCTTAACCTGAAACTGTTCTTAACCTGAGATACCACTTTAGCAGAAAGGACTGTAAGCTGTTTTTATATGCAATGATGGCAGCAAGAATATTATTGGCACAAAAATGGAAGCACGAAGAATTACCGACGAAAGAAGACTGGAGGATGAAATTGATGGACTATGCAGAATTAGACAAACTAACAGGAAGAATTCGAAACCGGCGGGACCAGAGATTCACAGAAGATTGGTGTAAATTTACGACTATTTGAAAAGTAGTTGTGATGACCAGATTACATTTGTAGGTTTGCAAGAAGTTTTGTGAGGTGAATAATTTGAATTATTGCATAATTGGATAAAAAGGGAGACATTAGTTAAGATAATTAAAGGCAATATGAATTTGAGAAATGCAGAAGAAATGATAAAAATAGGGGATCATCAGAGGTGTTGATGGAAGTCCAAAAAGATTGTATAAGATGTGAAATTTTGTGGTATGTATGGCAATTAATATGTTTAAAAATGATTTTAAAAAAGAGAGAGAGAGATACCACTTTGGCTAATGGGGCCTCCTGCTGCTGCCGTGCCGCCGCTGTGTGATTTCTGTTGCTGATCCTGAAGCAAAGTTCTTAACCCAAGGTACTATTTCTGGGTTAGCGGAGTCTGTAACCTGAAGCGTCTGTAACCTGAAGTGTCTGTAACCCAAGGTACCACTGTATTTAACAAGATGGTGTGGAGGCAAGAGACACATAGAGAAAGAAGAGAAAAATGGGTGGCTGCGGAATGGAGTCTCTTGGAATAGCGCATAACTGACTGGCTGGAACCAAGAAGGAGCATCCAACGTTGTAATAGTTTGTTGCAGTTCCCCTTCATTGACAGAGAATTCCCAAGCACTGAAAAAGGCCCACAGTGTATCATACACCTTCCTCCTTGCTTCCTCGGTTCTCCTTGGGTTGTCCTGGAAACAGAGGCCGTGACACCTTGGCCAGAGTGACAGGGCCATGACAAAGCCTTCTGTCATGGTACCAATTGGATTGAAATGTCCTGCCTTCCCCTCCCCCTCCTTTCCATGGACACAATGTGAGGGGCAAGAGTGCTGGGGGTGGCCCAGCATAGCAGGGGGACTCCAAACACTGACCAACTGTGGAGAGTCCTGACTTTCTTCCCCCCATAGCTGCCTTGTTCCTTTGGCTTTCTCTGGGTCAGGAGGACAAGGTTCACTGACTCCTCTTAGTTGCAAAGCGAAGGTGGATTAAAGAGAGGGCAATGGCCTTTTCTTGTTACTATTGGCAGGCGGAGGCTGGGTCAGCCATCCTCAAAACCCCTCGCACACTCTGTTGGGTCCGCAAGTGTCATTCAGCATGAAGGTAGCTGTCTATCAAGCCCCAGGGCCTTGTGGGAGCATGTACGGTACAGCAATAGCAAATGGACAGATCAGGAGGAAAAAGTGTTTTTAAAAACCTTGCATTCCCTCCACCCACCCTGTCCTGTGGATAGATGGATAATAAAAACGTTTTAAAAGGGCTCAAATTGTCAACTGCGTGGAGCTAAAAGCATGTCATTTGTCAACAGTGATGACATGGCTACTAACCAATTGGCTCACAACAGTGAATCAGACACACTCCAAAATGTAAAAGGCATGCTAATTCAGAGGCGGGGGGTAGTTGGGGAAAGATATTTACATCTCTTGCAACAATGGACTCTGTATTTATTCAGCAATAAGGCTCCCATCTGCACTCAGAACCAGAGGACAACCCAGGAGTCTGGTGCAAGGAGCATAGCTCAGCGATACATCCATTGCTTTGCTTGCAGAAGGGTGCAGGTTCAATCCATGACATGTCCAGGTTGGCTTGGGAGAGACTCCTGCCTGAGTTACTGCCTGACAGTGCAGACAATACTGAGCTAGCGGGACCAATAGTCTGACTCATTATAAGGCAGCTTCCTGAGTCCATCTCCTCACTTCCACAGTCCCAGGGAAACTGGCAGCTCCTTCTGGCAGGGACAGGGTGGGAAGAAAGCTCCCTGTAGAAACATAGGCACATAGGAAGCTGCTGCCTTATACTGAGTCAGAGCAATAGTAAGTCTAAGTCAACATTGTCTATACAGGCTCTCTAATAATTTGGACAAGGCTATCTCCCAGTGTGACTGGGAGCTGCCAGGGATTGAACCTGGGACCTTGTGCAGGCAAAACTGATGCCCTACCACTGAGCTACAGCCCTTCTTCTAAAGGGAAAGGGTATTTTCTCCACCAAAATCCTCTGGCCCATGAATGAGTCCATGCATCTCCTAGATCTAGATTTCTTCTTCTAGCTGCTGCCTGGAAAGCATTTTTTTTAAAAAAAGACTTTTTGTAGAAAGTGATGAATCAATGCAAGTAACACCACAGCAGCAGCAGCAGCAGCAACAACAACAACAACAACAACAACCTGCCTGACCAGCAGGTCTTCCCTCTCTTTCTCTCTGGGGCGGCTGTTTATAGGCACTTTGCTGCATGAGCGACAGAGGAAGGAGCCACGGTGGCTGGAGTCTGAGAGGTCCTTTGTTTCCACATTTCAGCTCCTTCCGATGGTGCTAAACTCTGCTCTCTGGCGCATAAATCTACTCTCCAACACATTTCTCTCTCCTGCCCTCTGACACCCATAGTTCCCTCCTCTCGCATCTCTAACTTGCAGGCCTAATAATAACTTGTCAGTCCGTGGGCTCTTCCGGCTTTAAGTTCTGCCACTGAGCCAGAGGTGAGATAACTGACACATGGACCTGCTTCCTTTGCAGGCAGTCACACGCAGCTACAGCATTGTGGGAGACCAGTTGGGCCCCGCTAGATTGCATTTGACCACTAGAGATGCTCAAGGAAGAGGCTTGGACAACTTCTGCATGTAGCGAAGGCACAGAAGGGGCCAATGTGTCTATTCCAGTTCTCTCAATTTCTCATTTCCCCCATCATGTGTTCTCCACATTTCCACATCAGTTTGTGATTTTTTTAAAGTCCTCATGAAAATTCATCAGCACCTTAGTGTGAATTTCTACTAATACGTTTGTATGCAATTTTGCCTCATATACACATTTTTGCAAATTGATTTTACTAATAAAATGATTTTGGGAGGAGGGATATGCTCTTTTCACCAGTAGATGCATTTTAATGTAAACTTTACCCCAATACATACAATTTTGTACATACCAGTTGGTTGGAGAACTGCACTGTGAAATTCAGAGAAAAGGCATTTTTGAATGATGGCTGTGTTTTGGTTCACATTTTGTTTTGGCAAGTGCACATTAGGAAAGTTCACATTTATATGCTAATTGAATCAAAATTCTCCATCCTCCTTAAGCCAGACTGGTGGTGTCTATGGACCACTGAGAGATAGGGCTGCCACCTTTGTTCTGGCAAAATACAGAACAGGATGGGATTAGGGGCGATTTTTTTTCTACCCGGTGCTGAAACAACTTCAAAGCAGTCCATTACAGGCTAACAGGATGGTCTCTCTCAAATTTGACACACACACACACACACACACACACACACACACACAATTTGTAAATCTGTCTGTGCTTTGCTACTCAGAGTTTTAAATACATGAGGAGGGCAATCCTTGCGGGGATTCTCCCCCACTCTCATCTCTCAAATATCATGCAGATAACTATGTTCAGAAGTGGGGCTTCTGGGTTACAATGACACAGAAACGCTTGTTTCTGGAGCCCCAGAACCTGGTACTCTCTGAGAGACGAGGCCTGGCACTACCCAGGCTGCAGTTCTGCAGATGGGAACTAGAAGCAACAACATGAAAGCCTTGCCCTGGTTTGCTCCTCCTTGGGGGTGGGATGAAGAGATTGAGCGAGGAGAAAAATGGAAAGAAAAGAAGCAAGAGGCAGTTTCTCCAGCCAAGCCAGCAATGCCTTCCCTGTAGGAGTGAGGACGGGCATTTGGAGAGGATAGTGTCCTGTACTGAAGCATTTTACAGTGAAATATGGGATGATTCCTTATTATATGGGACAGGTGGCTGCCTCCCCTGCCTTCCAGCAAGATCAGCACAGCGGGGAGGGGGGAGGGGAGAAAGAGTAACCTGGCTCCATCCATCAGTCATTGAAGGGGCAGCTGTGAGCTTGTGCTGCCCCTTCACGCCAGAAAAAAAGGCCCACTTTGCTTCATGTTATGGTTCCCCTGGGACTGCAGAGCTGAAGGAGAACACACTCTGGCCTCTGGCGTTGGTTAATGGACCCAGTGCCCATCACTACTGTGATGGACAAACCATTCAGCCACCATCTTGGAGACCATTAGGCAGTCATGGCAAGGAGGAGAAACAGCCAATCAAAAGAGAGAGAGAGTATGGTAAAGAGAGAATCTGACAAATAGGACCTGGCTACAGAAGTAGTTGTGGGACGCGAGTGGCGCTGTGGGTTAAACCACAGAGCCTAGGACTTGTTGATAAGAAGGTTGGTGGTTCGAATCCCCACAACGGGGTGAGCTCCCGTTCGGTCCCAGCTCCTGCCAACCTAGCAGTTCGAAAGCATGTCAAAATGCAAGTAGATAAATAGGTACCGCTCTGGCGGGAAGGTAAACAGCATTTCTGTGCGCTGCTCTGATTCACCAGAAGTGGCTTAGTCATGCTGGCCACATGAAGCGGAAGCTGTATGCCGGCTCCCTTGGCCAATAAAGCGAGATGAGCGCCGCAACCCCAGAGTCAGCCACGACTGGACCTAATGGTCAGGGGTCCCTTTACCTTTACCTTACAGAAGTAGTTAGGTGTGCTTAAGCCTTTGTCAGGCAGAACAAACCTGTTTAATTTCCTCAGGTGGAGGAAAAAGCCCTAGAAAGGGGCTAAAGTTGCTTTTACAGGAGGAGAAAAATCAAACAGCCATTCTAGGAGGAGATAGCTTTAACAGAAAAAGTTTTCTGGAGAATTGCAAGTAAAGTTTGTGTTTAAACCTGAAGCAATCTTTCTGACAGAAAACAAGGGCTGTGCCTTTAATAGTGGAGGACTTCAAGCTTTATTTTTCTTTGAATGTTTGCTAATAAAAATAGAATCTTCAATTCCGTTGTGTATCATCTTTAATTTAATTCAATTCATATCAACTGAAGGAAATAAGTTATTGCAGGAATCCCAGATGTCAAGTGCCCTTGCTGTGGGTTTCTATTACGCACCACCCGCATATAGAAAGTCCATTAATTCTTGGTATGTATAGATAGGGAGTGACCAAGGTTATACCATCCCACACTCGGTCACGGTGCCCTGTTCCCATCTTCACTGAGGGAGTATGTAGCAGCTGCTTCCCTTGACGTCCATGGAGGGAACAAAAGCTCTGCAGAGGAAAGACTGTATGTCCCCCTCCATTGGACAGAGAAGGAGCAGCCTCTTTTAGCCCAAGGACATAGCTCAGTGGTAAACAAATTGTTTTGCACACTGAAGGTTCATCCCGCAGCATCTCTAGGTAGGCTTAGAATCTTGCCTGCCTCAGCCCCTAGTGAGTCACTGCCAGTCCATGTTCTATTATGCACTGAGCAATGGTTATGGAAAAGCCATAGCTCAGTGGGACAGCATTTGGTTTGTATGCAGAGATCCCAGGTTCAATTTCTGGCATTTTTGGGTGTAGGGATCTGAACTTCCCTTGCCTGAAACTCTGGAGACCTGCTGCTAATAGACAATACAAAGCCAGACATCCTGATTCAAGATAAGACAGCTTCCTATGCTCCTACCAGAGAACTTGTTTATCCCTTCCCCACCAGAAAGATGACAAGGAACCAATGGACAGTTGCCCTGGGACTACAGAGCTGAAAGGCAGAATGTTCTAGGCCAGAGGAGCAAGGTCCTCCAGGAGGCTACTGTCCCCTGCTTCCTAGGAAGAATATCAAGGCAAGGAGGAGACACATAAATCAGCCAAAGAAGGAGCACCTGCAGGAAGCTCCCCCCCCCCCCCCAAAATAATGCTTATAAGAACTTTATAACTTGGAACTGGGGTGCAGTTTATTGTGGACTCAGCATCAAAGATTAAGCTGTGCATGTCTAAGTACATATCCTCAGTCTCAACCCCAATAATAATCACCAGCCTAAGTACTCAGAGTGTGTTGCAGACGTTTTAGCAGTATAGTGGTACCTCAGGTTAAGTACTTAATTCGTTCTGGAGGTCTGTTCTTAACCTGAAACTGTTTTTAACCTGAAGCACCACTTTAGCTAGTGGGGCCTCCCGCTGCTGCCGCACCGCTGGAGCATGATTTCTGTTCTCATCCTGAAGCAAAGTTATTAACCCGAGGTACTATTTCTGGGTTAGCGGAGTCTGTAACCTGAAGCGTATGTAACCTGAAGCGTATGTAACCCGAGGTACCACTGTAATCCTTATAATAGTCTTGTAAGGTAGACTAATATCACCACCTCCATACTACAGGTGGGGGCCCAGGCTCCAAGAAATAATATTTAAACACACATTTCATATGGATCCTGTTTTTTTAAACAAAATGTTGAAACAGGACAGGATGGATATCAATCCCTGTTGTCTTCAGGTAGAGCTAAGAAAGACCCCTGCCTCAATCCCCAGAGAGGCACTGATAGGCTGGATGTAGACACATCAAAAAAGTGCTTCAGGAAAGTGCATTGTAAACTTCATAATGGGAAATCACATTGACAAAAGACAGGACTCTACAGGGCCATCCGGTGTCTCAGTGTTACAACACATATAAAATGCTTTTTCTTTACTAATGTAGCTGAGTCCATAGTCAGTGTCAACAACACTGAGGTAGACGGACCAATGGTGTGCCTTGGGGGCAAGCAGCTTCTTGTGTTCCTGTCGAATAATGAATGAACACATACACAGTTGACATGGACCTGGGGAAAAGTGGGGTGCTGCAGGGTTCTGTCCTTGGCCTGTTGTTATTATGAAATCTTGTTAGAAGCTCTGGGGGTGGGGCAGAACCTTCCCATTGTGCCTCAGGCAGCAAAAAGGGATGGGCCACCCCTGTCCCTAGTCACTGTTAAGGAGCATTTGTGCTTCTGGAAGTTCATGGAACTCTGAACCTTTTAATTGGAAATAAGGCTAATCAAACCAGGGAACTTTCACATGCAAAATTGGTATTCTGCCCCACAGCTACAGCTCCTCTCTGTCATTCCTTACAGCACAATCCTTGGTATTAAGAAGTAACAGTTGTGCAGAAGAGGGAATTTCAGTCATTGCAACCAGTTGTTGTACAGGGCTAAGAGAAACTGCACCTCCCAAAATTATATTTTCTTCCACAACACACACTGGAAAGAGGTGCTTGATAAAAAAGGGTACTTGATCTGAAGTTCTGCACCCTTCCCTGAGCTCCTGACAGGGGTGTCTTGCTGCTCTGCAGGCCCAGGTCCAGACTAGCAGCCAGGAGACTGTAATCATCTAGCCGCTGCTGCAGCTCCCCTGCAGCTATTTTCTTGCCTTATTAGACAGGGATTGTCTACCTTCCAGGAACAGCGGGGTTGTTAATGGGTTTATCAGGCGGAGGTTAGACTAAGCAAATTACCCTTCTATCCCTGAGCCAGCTTGAGTGCAATGGATTGCCATGGTGGATGGCGGGGTAGGGGGGGAGAGAAGAGGGAGGGAGAAGAGGGTGAGACTGCTTTTGTGGCCAGCCAGAGAGAGCTGTGCCTAAAGGGAGTCTGCTTCCACTGTGTATCGACCAGCTGTCAGGCCTTTAAGAACCACACTCCTTCCAGAGTTGGGATTCAAGGAGCCTGCATCAACCCAGGCTACTGACTGCATTTAAACACAGGGTGTTTAATCTCTTCTTCCAAATATGATGTCCCTCAGATCCCAGAATTTGGTAGGGAGACTCTTCTTCTATAATATTCCCAATGCTTTGTCTCAGTCTTGAGTGTATCATAGCTGAAGTTTTAAATCATTGCAAGGATAGCTCTTTTAAATTATGTAAAGTGATTTCAAGAAGTGCTCGTGTTAACAACAACAGTGACCCTCCCACCACATTCACAAAGAGCTGCACATGCCATGTGCTTATGTGTGAATTCCCCTATTGACTTGGAACTACAGCTGTGCACAAATGGCTTCTCAAAATACTCCATCTCATTTATGAGCGGAGAGGAAGAGGACACAATTTCACTGATTTTTTTTCTGGCCTATGGGCAGGGACGGGGACTGAGTATTTCATAGTTTCTTGAGATTGGGGATCTCCACTAGCAATGTCAGCAGCACAGATTCTCTGTGCTGGTAGCCTCCACCAATTTGCATCCTCCACAAAAGAAAGGTCATTGCCCAGTGGTGGAGCATCTGCTTTGCATGCAGAAGGTCCTTGGTTCAATCCCCAGCATTTCCAGGTAGGGCTTGGAGAAAGCCCCACTGTTAACCCTAAAGAGTTGCTGCTAGTCAATGTGAGATGAGCTCTCCTTGGTCTTCAATGGTGGGTCATGTGGACTCCTCTCAAGGTCACAGCCTGATCTAAGATGTGTCACAACAACAGTGTCACCATCATATAAACACATTGCATACCAGCACATAACTCTGGTGCACAAAAGCTTGCACAAGCTGCCTATACTGTACTAGACCAGCTCCAAACATCTTGCATTAGTCTACAAGGCCCTTACTAACTTGAGTCCAGGATATGCCAAGGATCACCTAATCGTTTGTATCCCTACCTGATCACCAAGGTCTTGTAGTGGGACGTCGACTGTTGGTGGTCCCACATTGCCTTGATCCTGTTTTATGGGACTCCTTCTTGTTGAGATCAGTCAGCTCCCCTCCCTGTTGAACTTCCAATGCCTACTTAATACTTAAAAAAAAAATACAATCCAGCAGGAGTTTTAATTGAAGTCTGATTTTGTAGTTGTAACCAATTTTCATTTTTTTCTATATTGTATTTCTTGTACACCACCTCGAGATGATTCTAGTTAAGTGGTATATTGTTCAAATGAATGAATAAATAAAACGGTAAAAATAAATGGTTCCTCACATTCATGAGTGGGTTCTGGGTTTGAAAAGGTCAGTGAGCTAGAAGGACCATTGGTCTGACTCAGTTTAAGGCAGCATCCTGGCATCATTCCAAGGCACCCTGTTCATGTGATTGGCATCTGTGAAAAATAGGTGGAGGAGTGATCAGTGAGAATTCTGCAAAGCAGCATTCTTTTTTCCCAGCATTGTTTTGATCAGAAAAAAAATGCTTTGTGAGAAACTTCAGTTCATCTTTAGTTAGGATCTTCTTTGCCTAGCCTCCAAAATACTATCCTTTCCAGCTTCAGAAATGTACCTTCTTTGCTAGGTTAGACTGGCTACCACATTTCCAAGTGGGGATTGCAAGTAATGAATAGAGAAACTGGTGACTTTCTCACAGTCAACAAAAAAAAAATCTATTATCTTTTCACAAATCCGATGGTTCTATGTCTGTTTTATTGTCTATGATGAATAGTGTCTGTCATGGCAATGAAATCTTCAACATGTATGTAAGAAAGCTCTGCCCCATGGGGACTGATCAGCATGGGACTTTCTTCCCAGTAAACTTGTGTAAGATTTCTCTGGAAGCCAAATTACTTGTGTATTCAACAGCAGCAACGAACTTTTTTTTTTTTTTTTAAATGAGCCACTTCCTTAAATCAGCAACAGCGCATTAAGTTACATAACAGCAAAGAAAACTGCCTTACGCTGAGGTCCCACCTTTGCTATACATTTGAAGCAGTTTCATACCACTGCTTCCCTCAAATAATCCTTGGGACTATTATAGTTTATTAAGGGTGCTAAGAGCTATTAGGAGACACACCCACCCACCCCAATTTCCTCCGCAGAGCAACAATATCTAGATTTCATTAGGAAGAGAGATTAGCCGTTAAACCACAGGACTCACATGTGGAATGCAAGGTGTTTCTGGCTGGGGGAAAAGTGGGGAGGGGGTGCACACACACTATACATACTCAGAGGCGCTACTGCCACCTCTTCATTACTTCACACATTACCGGGCAGGACCCTAGCACTGGGTACCAGCCCTCTTTTCCCTTCCCACACATCCTCTGAACTATTTTACTAGCTGCTCAAGACTCACCCACCACTGCTGCTGACTCCAACCTACACCATGCCCCTTTAACGCCCGTGGCCATGCTCCTTCTGTCTCTCTGCCTCCAGCCCCTAGTGGTGCCTTTGCAAAAGACATCACCATACCATGGAGCTCAGAGGCAGCCGCGTGGGGCAGAGAGGCAGGATCCGTGAGGATCAGATCCAAAGCAGCTACCTCAAAGAGTCCAGCCTATCACAGGGATGGCAAGTGAGCCTCAGGCGCCATGTGACCGTCATGATCTGCTGCTGCTCTCTCACTCACTCACTCACTCACTGCCAGAGCGGTGCTGTGTGTGGGGAGAACAAAGCCTTTAAATTGGGATTCCCCAATTTCAAGTTAGAAGCTGTAATGCCTTTACCGATTCTGGGGCAGGGAGAGACACTGGAGGGGTATGAAACCACTGTGAGAATTGTAGCTCTGTGAGGGGAATAGAGGTCTCCTCACAACTTCCAGCCATCTTAACAAACTACAGTTCCCAGGATTCTTCAGGGGGGACCATTACTGTTTGGAGCAATATGATATTGCTTTAAAAATGTATTGTGCGCATAGGGCTTGAGTCTTCCTAGCTCAATATTGTTTACACTGACAAGCAGCAGATCTCCAGGGTTTTGGACAGGCTCCCCCAGCCTTATTTGGAGATGCTGGGAGTTGAATCTGCACACAAAACACAATGCTCTGCCATAGAGCTATGGCCCTTCCCCAGTGCTGCACCTTACTCCTTTTTAAGCAACCATCATGCATAACGTCCATAGTAGCTAAAAGAGGAATTTGTGCAGGACCTTGGTGGGTGATAGCATTTTTCAGTTAAATAAGGCAACACAAGGAAAGCAGCTTTATTATAATTCCTAATAATAATAATAATAACAATAATATTTAGATCGTGTAGTTCCCCCAACAATCTCCCAATTAGGTGGACTGGATTTTTGACCTCTCCCTTTGCTCTATTTTCATTTTGTTTTTGGGGAGGAATGCAGGAAAAAAGACAAAGCAATAATTTTGGAGCCAGGAATCCTCCTTAGTTCCAAGTTCATTGTCAAACTAACAAGGGAAAAGGGGAGCCTAGAGCCATTTCCGAGACCCATTAGCCCTTTCAGATTGCAATCTTTTTTTAATTGTTATTTAAAAAAGCTCTTCATGAGAATTTGTCAGTATGTTAGTATACATTTTTGCTAATATGCTATTTTCTTCTGTGATTTTGCCTAATTCGCACAGCATTTCTGAAGCGTTTCCCCTTGATATAATGCATTTTGGATGGCATTTTAATTACTATATGCATTTAGATGTATGCTTTACTCTAATACAGTATTTGCATTTCTGTACACATTATTTGGCTGGAGAACCAGACTGCAAAATTCAGAGAAAGTTCACCTGTGAATTGAATTGTTAGCCCTTTCAAAGCTTTCATCTTACTACCCTGAAGTCATTAGATGAAGAGAGGAACACTACCTTCTCCCTCCCTCTCTCTTAAAATTTGTTTCAGCAACTCCTATATGATTTAAGGGGCAAGGTAAAACTGCCCTCACTTTAAAGAATGCTTTAAATAGTGAGGTCCCAGGAAGTACAGAGAATCACTGAGGTTAGGTGCTGGGACATAGCATCGTAAAAGCTGCAAGGGCCTCGGGCTGATCTGACCTTATCAACAGTGGAAGCAAACAGGAAGCCCCAATGCATTCCTGGCATATTCTTGCACAGCACTAAGTGAAAAAGCAAAGCTTGAACAACAGGGGAATGCATTGTGCTTCTCTGCACTTAACCCTCCTCTGGTCTGTGTGCAATATGCTGCATCAGGAACCAAATGTAGCCCAGCCAGTGCTATAAAGGGAAGAATTTGGTGGGCTGGCAATGGCTGGTATAGACAGACAGACTCTTTTTACATACTCTCATACACATATCCTGGGCTGTAGCCCAGTGGTGATAGTCACCTTTCCCAGCATGTACTGTTGCATTGCCAGATGCTGCTGGTACCTTTAAGACGTCCATTCACTTGTTTTGTTATTTCATAATGCTTTCATTTTCATTCACTTATCATGTGCGTGTGAAAAAAGGCCATTCATGAAGATGTTCTGGTAAGCCATAGGGGGATGGGAATCTTTAACTCAGTTCATCTTGCAGCAATGAAATCATGGTCAGCATCAGCAGTTGAATTTCTTGGGCACCTATTGATGCCCATGTCCTAATAGAGGGGGCCCACAGATAATCCTTTGGAACTCCTTAGCCCTGCGGCTCCTTTCTCATGCTTCTGCTGCCTGTTCTCTCATCTTCTCAAAGTGAGAAGGCTATGGCAAGAAGAAGGAGAAATAGCAAGAGCTTCAATTTGCCTCTCCCCCTCTCTGGGCAATGGTGCAATTTCAACCCAGAGGGAGGCCCTCATCAGATGTTACTGTCCTGCCAAGGGATTCTTTTGGATTCAGGCTGGCAATGAAAGAAATATCAATTGTGCACTTTAACAGGTTTTATTTGCTAGGTGAAAGCATGAAGCACAAGCCATGGGGAAGCAGGTATTTTATAGCCCTTTCAGTTGCTAAGGACAACTGATGGAAAACTAACTTTTCCTGATAAAAAGAGTCATATCTTCTTAAGGCCTCTTCTTCTCAAGGTCCATGATGTGATCTTCAAGTGACTTGCCAATTGCCAAGGGAGATAGCTCACCTCTCTTATGCTAGCTTAACATTTCTGGTGGCAGTCCATTGACATATCTTGGTTGCATTGAAGTTGCTTGATTGAATCTGGCAGGGTGAGGCCACTGCTTCAGACTGCGGAAGTTCCCAAGGTGGCACCTCTGTGGTGCCCTGCCTGCACCACCACCTCCATCATTTTGGTTGAGATTTCACCTCAAATTGGCACTGATGCCGGTGCAGATTCACCACTGTTGTTGGAGGCAACAGGGCAGATGGGGCACATGGTGCAGGTGGCAGCAGCAGAGTGGGGGTGTAGGTGGCAATGGCAGCCTCAGGTATGATGAAGCTGCTGGTAGTTGACAGCAGTAGCAGTGGAGCAGCTGGGCAGGGGGCACTTCCCATTTTGCCTCAAGTGGCAGAATGGGCTGCAATGCCCCTGCATCTGCTGGCTGTATCCTATTTTGCGGTGCCAGTTGTGCAAGCTGGTGCCATGTGTTTCTTGCCTTTGCACCGTCTGTTGCAACAACAAGCTTTTAGATATCACTGTCTCCAGGGATATTTATCAGTGACACAAAGGACTGGGGTTAACTGCATAATGTGATAGCCATCATGTGGTTGTCCTTAATATCCTCACTGACTTCTCTCAATTGCTGAACC